AGCACAAAAACAGATAGTTGATTTTAGGTAAAACAGACATTCCATCAAGTATGAGAGCCCTCACATGTATGTGTCTAACTTAAAGGGGAGAAATATGGTAGCTTCACTAAACAAAAAAGACATTCGCTCATTCATTCAATCAGTATTCATCTTCTTAGTCACCCACCAGACTCTAGGTGCTATATGATGTGCTGATGATACAAATACAAATACTGGTTCCTGCCTTTGAGGAGCTCTGACTCTTGTAAAGGGAGATGAATGTATGATGAGACCATTATTATGCAGTGTGATTTGCACAATGACAGAGGCAGGCACAGAGTGATGTGGAGCCCAGAGAATTTGCTTTGAGAACAGACAGATTTTTTTAAACAAAGAAATACATTTTACAGCACAGTGGTCATGTGCTGATATCAATAATATACACATTATTTTGTACTTATTAATAGCATCAGCGTCATCTTCAAATCCCTCACTCTGGGCCAGGTCTCCACTGCCTTGGTGGGTACTGAAGCATGATTCAAACAAGCAGCCACACAGGCTTAACCAAGACCTAGACTTAGATCCTTGCTCCTCAGAGCTTATAAGAATGAATCATTCAAGGAGATGGCAGCAAAGGGGGTAATTTTCTCTTGATTCATAGGGCTGAACTTCATGCCAATGATGTTTTGGTGCAGAGATTTTGAATGCTATTCTGTCTATGGCTCCACCATTTCTAAAGACATTGCTACAGCTGTGTGGATGACTCATTGGGATAGCTTGTGCAAGCCTATGGCCCTGGAGCTGTGTGTGTGTGTGTGTGTGTGTGTGTGTGTGTGAGAGAGAGAGAGAGAGAGAGAGAGAGAGAGAGAGAGAGAGAGAGAGATCTCTAAGGAGAGGCAAGAAAGCAATGCTGCAAACATTGAGCATTTGTATAGACCACTTTAAGTTTTCTTTTTCTTGCTCTTCACATTTGGGGACTAATTTTCTACTTTTCTGCTCACTAAGAACTTTTTGAGGAGAATGGAGTAGGGTGACATGAGTCAGATAAAGAATAAGAAAAGAAATTTCAAATCCATTTCAAATTACCTTTTGTCAGTGGCTCAGCGAAAGGCTGGAGACATTAGTTAAGATGAGGCTGTCACATTACTTTATTTTTATTTATTTATTTATTTATTTTATTGCTTAAAGTATTACAAAGGGTATTACATATGTGTCCATTTTATCCCCCCGCCCTAGACAGTCCCCTAGCCTCCCCTATCCCCCAATGTCTTATGTCCACTGGTTATGCTTCTATGCATGCGTACAAGTCTTTTAGTTGATCTCTTACCCCCCTACCTCCTGCCCCGCAACCCTCCCCGGCCTTCCTGCTGCAGTTTGACAATCTGTTTGAGGCAGCTCTGCCTCTGTATCTATTATTGTTCAAAAGTTTATAATGGTCTCTATTATCCATGAATGAGTGAGATCATGTGGTATTTTTCCTTCACTGACTGGCTTATTTCACTTAGCATAATGCTCTCCAGTTCCATCCATGACGTTGCAAATGGTAAGAGTTCCTTCCTTTTTAGAGCAGCATAGTATTCCATCGTGTAGATGTACCACAGTTTTCTAATCCATTCATCTACTGATGGGCACTTAGGCTGTTTCCAGATCTTAGCTATGGTGAATTGTGCTGCTATGAACATAGGGGTGCATATATCCTTTCTGATTGGTGTTTCTGGTTTCTTGGGATATATTCCTAGAAGTGGGATCACAGGGTCAAATGGGAGTTCCATTTTCAGTTTTTTAAGGAAACTCCATACTGTCTTCCATAGTGGCTGCACCAGTCTGCATTCCCACCAGCAGTGCACAAGTGTTCCCTTTTCTCCACATCCTCTCCAGCACTTGTCGTTTGTTGATTTGTTGATGATAGCCAGTCTGACAGGTGTGAGATGGTACCTCATTGTTGTTTTGATTTGCATCTCTCGGATGATTAGTGACTTAGAGCATGTTTTCATATGTCTCTTGGCTTTCTGAATGTCCTCTTTTGAAAGGTGTCTATTTAAGTCCTTTGCCCATTTTTTGATTGGATTGTTTATCTTCCTTTTGTTAAGTTGTATGAGTTCCCTATAAATTTTGGAGATTAGGCCCTTATCAGATATGACATTGGCAAATATGTTTTCCCACACAGTGGGTTTTCTCGTTGTTTTGTTCATGGTTTCTTTTGCTGGAGGCTGTCACATTACTTTAGATTCGTATGCTCCACAATTGAAAGAGGTCTATGGCTTGGAGTAATGAATGATGACTCTGGTGACAGCGGTGGTGGTCATAATCCATTCAACAAATATGTATTGAGCACCTACTACATGCCACCACTGACCTAGACACATGGGATCGAAATGGACTCCCCTTAATAAACCTCTGCCATTGGGGCTTAAATTCCAGAAGAAACTGGCAAAATGGTGCTAGCATTCCCCTTCTTGTTTGAACTATTTCCTTCTCATAAGTTCCTAGTCATGAACGGCTTGTTCTCCATTAAGTGCCAGTATCGGCTCGAGAATCATAAAACTTTATCTCTTCCAAAGCTTGAAGATTGTTATCTGCTTAAAATGTTTATATGAGCAGAGAAATGGACTCCGGTTCAGATGTAGAAGTCTGTGTATGTGCACTGAGGGGTGGGTGGGGGGCGGTGATAGTGTACAGTGGGAAGAAATTCTACTGCCCTACTCTCCACTGATACTTTCCAGCTGGGGGGAAATACATGTTAATACCCGAATTGCTCCCCTCCAGCCCACTTGCCTTTCCCCCTCTGCCTCCACTTTGCTCCCTCCTCCCTTCCTTTTTAAATCCCTCCCTCTCCTCCTTCCTTCCCTTTCCTTTGGTCCCTCCCCACCCCCTTCCCTCGCTCAGTTCTTCTCCTCTCTGGCTCCCTTTCTCTCTAGCCTTTCCCCTCTCATCCTCTTTCCCTCCTCCATCCCTCCGCGTCTGCGCCAGGCCCCCACCTGCAGGGCGCGCGGGGTCTGGGTGGGAGCTGTCCACTCGCCCCGGGTGCTGAATGCAGCAGCGGCGGCCGCGGCGGCGGCAGCGATAACTGGGAGGTTTCTTCGCTCCAAGAACACTGTTTCCAGTCCTCAGACAGTCAACTCACAGCCCACGCCACCTCTCCTCCAGCACCACCCCTTTGGGACCTGAGCCAAGGGGGCAGCGGTCAAGGCGGCGGGTGCTGAGCAACGGCGGAAGACGAGACAACACCTGGCAGCAGCCTGGAATCTGATTTGCTTCCTCTCCCCTTTCAGAGGAGATATATTTATATACGGTTTTGGGGAGTCGCGAGAACCGAGCCGGGGCCAAGTGCGGACGACATCCCACCTGGGCCACACTGCTTCGATTCCCTCTCCCCACCGTCAACCGGCACCGCAAACCAGCCTTACCTCGTTGCATCTGCGGAGAGAGGTAGCAACAGCGAGCCCAGCCAGCCAGAGGCGGTGGCGAGGAGGGAGTGGCGGCGTGGGGGCTGGGGGCGAAGAGAGCCGGCGAGGCCGCCCTTGGTGGGGGTAGCGGGGGCAGAGCTGCGGCGAGGACCCCGCAGCCGCCCTCCTTCGCTCCCACCCCTCCAGGAGCACTCTTTCCGATTATTTGAGAACCGAATTATTCCTCTTCCACTAGTACCATCTCATTTTTTATTACCTCCCTTCCCCACTCCTCAGCCTCCCCCACCCTACGCCGGCCTCGCCTCTGGTTGCATGGCAGCGCTGCCCCGGCGCGGGGGCTCAGGGCCAGCCCCCCGGGAAGGAGGAGGATCATGAAGCCTGGAGTCGCAGCCACGCCGGACCGCGAGCGGCAGCCAGAGGAGCCCCCGCCCCGGAGACACCCAGACGCCGACCAGCAGTCGCCACCGCCTTCGCAGCAGCCTCGCCGGCCGCGGGCAGACCCGGAGCCAGACCAAGGGGGCGACCACCGTCCAGCGGAGGACGAGGAGGAGAACGCGAGGCCACACACCCGCCCGGACCTGCCCTTCTCCAGGCCCTCGCCCCTCGCCGGAAGGGACCTTTGATGGAGCCCAGGGGAGGGGTCCGAGGATTTACAGACTGTCGCAGGGTGGGCTAAAGGCTGAGGTCATGTAACTACTTCCTTCTGTCCCTTTCTACACACCCCTCTTCTCTACCCCTTTTCTCTGCTCCACTGCCTCCCTCCCCCTCCCCCCATACACACCCTTCTTCCAGGAAGAAGGCGCTTTGCAAGGGTTAAAAGATCTTTTTTTTCTCCTTCCTCGGTCCTTTATTTCCCCACCTTTATTCTCCCGATTAGCTTTCCCTTTTTTGTGCAGCCCTTTGGCTGCAGAGGCAAAGCACAAGACCCTTGTCCAAGTTCACCTGTAATCCCTTCCCCCCATCCAACTGCTCCCTTAAAAGCAACACCGGTGCTTCTGGGGTTAATTGCCCCAGTTTTCTGCCCAGGAGAATTAAAACTTGTCCCCCACCCCCTCCTTCCTACCTTACCTCCCCTCCCCCCCCCCAATCTCTGGCAACCTGAAGAAATAATCTTTTCCCTCTCACACATAGAGTCCTCAATTCTTCATTGAGCGAGTTTGCCCTAATCCCAGCTCAGTCCACTCCAAATTTGATTTATAATCTTCCCCACCTTTTTATATACAAGAAGAAAGGTTGCCCATTGTCTATGAATTTGAGAATAACCCAATAATCCTCTCCTGGGGAACTTTCTAACAATTAGACCTACATCTCAAGGCCCTAACAGACTATCCTCAACATTTCTTTTATCCCCCTCCCTCTACCAGTGCCCCCAGGTCAAAGGCAGAAAGGAGGCAGCCTGAGCAAAGCCTAAGGTTGGGGTGAGGTGGGGTGGAAGCAAGAGAAGCTTTTATTGTTGGGCTTTCCAGGTAAAGTTCAGAATCAGTGACTTGCAGTCTTCAGTCCTGGGGGTAATTTATTTGCTACTTGGAGGAACCAGTGAGAAAGCAGACTCCCGCATAACACAGATACTCTGTGGACCCCTCAAAACCATCCTATCTTCTGCAAAGACTTCAGCTGCCCCTCCCGGGCTCTCTGCTCCCACTGGGCACATGCTGATGCCCCTGAGTGGGCTGCTTTGGTGGTGGTGCTGCTGCTACTGCTGTGCCTGGTACCGCTTTGGACTGTGCACCCCAGCTCCCCAGATGTTGCGCCACCAGGGTCTCCTCAAGTGCCGCTGCCGCATGCTCTTCAATGACCTGAAGGTTTTCCTACTTCGGCGCCCCCCTCCAGCACCCCTGCCCATGCACGGAGACCCCCAGCCCCCAGGTTTGACCGCCAACAACAATACCCTTCCGGCTCTGGGTGCCGGGGGGTGGGCAGGCTGGAGGGGCCCTCGAGAAGGGGTGGGCAGGGAGACCCCTCCTCTGCCACCTCCACCACCTTTGCCACCTTCTTCTGTGGAAGATGACTGGGGTGTCCCAGCCACGGAGCCACCTGCCTCACTGCTCAGCAGTGCCTCCTCAAATGACTTCTGTAAGGGGAAGGCTGAGGACTGCTACTCACTGGGCAGCAGCCTGGACAGTGGCATGAGGACCCCGCTGTGCCGCATCTGCTTCCAGGGGCCAGAACAGGTAAGGCCATTTCCCCCTTTTCCTGCTTCCTTGTAGTGTCTCCAGATCTCGCAGATTGCTACTGGCCTACTTGCTCTGGGGAACCATTATGTTGTGTCTAATGTGAGGACTGTAAGTTTTAAGACGCTCAATGATGTTCTTTTGGTTAAGGTTGCCCCAAGAGGGTCTGGTTCCTGGTGGAGCCTGTTTGGTGGCTCGGTTGTATCCAGTGTTTGCATGCTCCTTCCAGTGCTAGTATCTTCAGTTCCACGTGAAAATTCCATACGTGTCCTCAAAATAGAAGATCCAGAAGTCAGGAGCAATGAAATGAAGGAACTTGGTGGTCCGTTCACACTTGTCGTGAAGATGTCCTTTTGTCTGATTTATTGTGAGTGGCATTTTCCCCAGCTCTTCTTCAGTCCCAGATTCAAACTTCTTCCCTCCATGAAAGTGAGCAGAGATCTTGTCCACTTTCCCTGTTCTTACAGACTGAAACCCAATGAGCCTGTGCCTGTTCCTTCATTTTCATGTAGAGACTGTCCCCTCCCATATTACATTTCCTTCTCGGCAGTGTGTTTTAGTCACTGCAGAGAAAATGGAGAAAGATTCTAGGTCCAAGGAGACTGCAGTTTGCTAAGACACTTCTTGGCAGACTTGTGTTTCCTAGGTTGAAAGCAGGTAGGTAAGTGGGGTGAGAGTGAATTTAAGGGAAATAGAGAGACTAATAGAGAATCTTGTTGTATCTAGTCCCCTCCTCAGGCCTGAAGCACATCAACTGAGATTGTCCCTTCCACTCTCCCCATCCAGGATAGAGAATGGCAAGTACCTCACAGACCAGAGTCTTCCCAAGTCTGAGAGTTTTCACTACCCCATTCATTCAGATTTTCACAGACATACTTACCCCACCCCTTTGAGCTCCACTTTCAATCTAGTGTCTGCAATGCTGGACAGCATGTGCACATTCTTCCAGAGTCATATTGTGGCAGCTCTTTCCACAGAATCCCAGATCTGAACATCAGATCTAGTCACTTATTCTGGGGAAAGAATACTCACCTGGGCCCTGGGCAGGGTTATGTGATCACATTAGCCACTTCTTTGTGGATTTCCTGGAAGTGGAGGGAAGACTTCTAGGTGCTCTCTGAACAAATGGCAGTGCACTGGGATGCCATGCTGGTGTCCCGAGTAGTCCTGGTTCTTGTTGGGGGCTTGCTCTGTAAGAGGCAGGCTTGGCTGACATTTTCATTCATTCTATCTCTGCTCTGAATGGGGAGAGCACTTCATGGACAGATGATGACTGAGGCCACACCCTGGGCATTATGAGGGAAGGAGAGATAGACATCCAGATGAATACATATCTCTGAGAGTTTGAGGGCTGGATTCCTTCTTCTTGTGATGAGGATTGCCTGAAGTCCCAAATAAAGCACCGCCCAGAGTTGAGGGCTTCAGTTAGGGGAGAAGGTCCAGGGTCCCTGCTCCATGCCCTTTTCCCAGCCCTCCGCATCACCTCCAGTGCTGGGTCTCCAGCAGAGACACAAGGCAGAGTGGCTTGGCTGAGAGCAAGAGGGAACCTCACTTTGGGGACCACCTGGTCAGGATCTTGCCCGAATCAGGAGCCTCATCCATTCTCAGACAAGGAATTACTTAGTTTCTTAAGTTCTTAAGTTATTTCTTTCTTCTCCCATATGGGCTGGCTCAGGGCTGCATGTCATAGGGGCTGCTGGGAGTGTGGCTTCTGGTAAGAGTACCCTAGTCCATAGAGAACAGCATGACTTGGAGACTATTTGATGGGTGTGTGCAGTCCAAATAGCTTTATCTCACTGGGTTCTTTTTCCATTTCTGTGATTTAAGACACCTTTTTCTGTTTCCCCTCCTGTTCTCATATTTGTTGAGAAGACCCAGGAGATAATGAGCATGAAAATGCCTTGAAAGGAATTAATTAATAATTGCATGTATTTTGATCACAAAAAAGCAGTATTTTGTTGAGAAAAGAAAAAGAATGACATCATTAAGCATATTGTGAAACACTTCATGTGCTACAGGGTTGGGTCAGAGATTAAAAGATTTTCTTTCTCACTTATTATTCTCATGATGTGTCATGAAGAAAGCATTGACTAAAAAAGCTAACAACACTGAGAGAGGAATGGGCTCTGTTATTATGTGGGAGAAATAGGATATTGTGACAGCATTAAGACTGGATCAAATCAAGTATTTCCTGTATATTATCATTACATTTTGGGATTTGCTTTATCTGTGCAGGAGCTAGGAGATTAGAATGAGAACATGTTATAGAAGTATTAAAAGCAATGTAGCTTAGATGTGGGGAAGGCATTTCCCTACTTTTTCTTCATTTTCCCCACAGCATTTCAATAAGGAAGGGAGACAAAAGAGGGAGGAGATAGGGAAAACTTTCTAGAGAAGGGAGAGGGAGAGTGAGGGTGGAGAGAGAAGCTGAGATTTTATTTCAGTATCTTAGTTTCTTTCTGCTCAGGAAGAGAGCTTTCCAGCATTTGTCCACATGTGACCCTGAAAGGCATGCAGACAGACTGTAATCTCAGGGCTGAATGTGTTGGTCTTTTCCCTGCAGCCAAACAAAGGGACCAAACAGCTCCCCAGTCATCTGCCACTACTCCAAGGGCTAAAAGACTGCCAAACACGAAGATGTGGTCTCTGCCTGCCAATATTTGGTGAGGGACAACTGAAAGATCCAGCTAGTGCCACATATTTATACAGGATTTCGCATCACTCATTCATAAATGCATTTAATACACATGGACTGAGCTTTTACAGTGTGCCAGATGCTGTTCTAGGCACTGAGTATCCAGGAATAGACAAAACAGTTGAGATCTCTGCTCTCCTGAATTTGACAGTCTAGTGGAGATACAGAAATTGACAAATAAACTACTAGATAAATCAAGTGATTTCGGATGGTGTTGTCTGCCTTGATAAAAGTAAAACAGGAAAATGAGTTAGACAAGAATGAAAGGGGGGGCGGGGCTTGGGAAAGATGCAGTACATTAGATACAGTGTTCAGGAACAGCCTTCCTAAGAAGGTGCCCTCTGAGCTGACACCTACATGGTGAGGAGGACCCCCTGATGGAAAATCATTTCAGATGGGGGGAACAGCAGGTTTAAAGGCCTCAGTGTGAATAAGCTGAGCATGTTTGAGAAACAGGAGGAGGGCGATGAGCAGGTGTGAACAAATGCTTTGAGAGACAACTTGGCTTCACCCTAGAAAACTGACCAAGTACCCACTCTCCGCCTTTCAGCCATTCATTCAGGTTGGATCAGGGTCAAGGTCCATGAGCGTGTAAGATAAGAGCCCAGCCACCAATCCTTCGCTCTCCATTTCTAGTTCACTTTGAGGGACAGTGAAGCCTGGTGGGTTAGCGGAGGTCTCTGAAGCCAGATGGTCCTAGCTCAAGGTCTGAACAAACTGTACAGCCTCTCTGTGCCTTGGGTCCTCATTTTTTAAAGTTGGGATAATGATGATCATCCCCAATATACAAGGTCATTGAGCATCAGTGCCATTACAGTGTGTTGTTGTTGTTGTCTCAAATGCAAGAGAATGCTCCCCCTGCCTCGTTTAAAAGGAAAAATGTGCCCTGGCTCCCAGTCTGGCAGGAGGAGCGCTATGGTCATGGTCTGGCTGTGTTAGTGGGTTGTTTTTTTGTGCACTCACAATGGTCTAGGCACAGTGCTGCTCCTCTGCTTCCACCATCACGGGTATTAAGTGCCCACCTATGCCTGCTGCTCTGCTGAGCGAAGTGTAAAGACACATGGCCCATGTGGCCCTGCCCTCTGGGAGCTGCACAATCTAACCCAGACATCACGGAGGCTGATAGAGATCAAGAACACACAGACAGCAAGTCGAAGTGAATTGCAGTTATATCGGCTACAAGAAAGGAATGTATGTTTAAAGGCGGCTAGTGTAAGGGGTGCCTATGCCAAGAGGCAAGTGGGAGAATTTGTTACTTTTTCTCTAATTAGTCAGAGAGGGCTTCTTTAGTGTGGCTGCTGAATACCAAATGAGATGAAATAGACTTAGACTGAGTTTAGAAAGCTAGAAGCAGCCTGGCTGTGTTGCTCAGTGGTTTAGTGTTGACCCATGCACCAAGAGGTCACCAGTTCGATTCCCAGTCAGGGCTCATGCCTGGGTTGTGGGCTTGATCCCCAGTGGGGGGTGGGCAGGAGGCAGTGGATCAATGTTGATGTTTCTCTCTCATCAATGTTTCTCTCTCTCTCTCTCTCTCTCTCTCTCTCTCTCTCTCTCTCTCTCAATTCAAAAAAAACATATAAAAAAAGAAAGAAAGCTAGAAGCATAAGAGATGTGAGACACATGGGTATCTCGACAAAGAGGTAAAGCCAGCTCCTAGGCTGGGCCAGCAGTGGAGCACTTGGAGGTGGGTACAGAAATCATACCCATCATGGTAGTGGTGGTGGCTGGATACCTGTAATGGAAATCAGGAAATGAGTCTGGAAGAGATTAATAGGCTTCATCTACCTCTTCCTCTTCCTGGGGTTGGCCTCTTGGGAGCTCTGCATTCAGAAGGGGCAAGAGTAGTGTGGAATATTCTAGTCCAGTGATGGCGAACCTCTGACACGCGTGTCAGAGGTGACACGCGAACTCATTTTTTTGGTTGATTTTTCTTTGTTAAATGGCATTTAAATATATAAAATAAATATCAAAAATATAAGTCTTTGTTTTACTATGGTTGCAAATATCAAAAAATTTCTATATGTGACACAGCACCAGGGTTAAGTTAGGGTTTTTCAAAATGCTGACATGCCGAGCTCAAAAGGTTCGCCATCACTGTTCTAGTCCAGTGGTTCTCAACCTTCTGGCCCTTTAAATATAGTTCCTCATGTGACCCAACCATAAAATTATTTCCGTTGCTACTTCATAACTGTAATGTTGCTACTGTTATGGATTGTAATGTAAATATCTGATATGCAGGATGGTCTTAGGCGACCCCTGTGAAAGGGTCGTTCGACCGCCAAAGGGGTTGTGACCCACAGGTTGA